AATCTTTAAGATTTTCTAAAAATAAGATAATGTCACCTGTGAACAGAGAGAATTTACTTCTGCTTTTCCAGGTGTATGTCTTTTATCTCTTTTTTTTGTTGTTCTTGTTTTAATTGCTCTGGCTGGAAATTTCAGTACTATGTTGAATAGCAGCCAGGATGGGCATCTTTGCTTTGTTCCTGATCTTAAAGGAAAATTAGTTGTTCCTAGTTGCATATGGTGTTAATTGTGGGCTTTTCATATATGGCGTTTATTATGTTGAGATAGTTTCCCTCTATTCATAGTTTATTGAATGTTTTTATCATGAAAGGATGTTGAATTTTGTCAAATGCTCTTCCTGCATCAATTGAGATGATCATGTGGTTCTTGTTCCTCATTTTGTTAATGTGGCACATTATATTGATTGATTTTCATATGTTGAGCCATCATTGTTCAGGTATAATTGCCATTTGGTCATGGTATATGATGCTTTTAATGTGCTATGGAATTCTGTTTGCTATTATTCCTTATCTTTTAGGGTCTTTGCATCTATGCTTCTCATGGATATTGGCCTGTAATTGTCTTTTCTTGTCTTTGTCTTGGTATCAGGGTAATGCTTGCCTCATAGAATGAGTTTGGGAGAATTCCTTCCTCTTATTTTTTGGGAGAGTTTGAGGACTGGTGTTAATTCTTTAAATGTTTAATAGAATTCTCCACTGAAGCCATCTGGGCCTAGGCTTTTTATTGTTATTGTTATTATTGAAAGGTTTTTGATAACTGTTTCAATGTCCTCTCAGTTATAGGTCCATTCAAATGTTTTATTTCTTTATGATTCAGACTTCATAGGTTATATGTTTCTATGAATTTATCAATTTCTTCTAGGTTATACAATTTGTTAGTGTACAATTGTTCATAGTAGTCTCTTGTAATCTTTTTTTTATTTCTGTGGCATCCATTGTAATGTCTCGTTGCCCATATATAAATTTAATTTTTTAAGTCTTCTCTCTTTTCTTAGTCTAGCTATGAGTTTGTTACACTTTTGATCTTTTTGAAAAGCCAACTCTTAGTTTTGTTGATCTTTTCTGTGATTTATGCTTTACTTTATTTCCCTTATCTCTGCTCTAATCTTTATTATTCCCTTCCTTCTCCTGACTTTGGGCTTTGTTTGTTCTTTTTCTAGTTCCTTGAAGTGCAGTGTTAGGTTGTTAATTTGTAAACTGTTTTTTTCATGTAAGCATTTATTGCTCTGAACTTTCCTGTTAGTGCCACTCTCACTGCATCCCATATGTTTGAATGTGTTGTGTTTTTGTTTTCACCTGTCTCCAGCTATTTCCTAAATCCCCTTGTGTGTTCTTCTTTGACCCGTAGGCTGTTTAAGAGTGCAATGTTTAATTTCTAAATATTTATGGATTTTGCTATTTTCCTTCTGCTATTGATTTCTAGTTTTGTTTCATTCCATTGTGCATAAATGGGTTTTTGAAAGAGGTCTGATAATACCAACAGAGAATGTTTCTATGATTTCAAATGGCTTGCTCAAGTCTTATATATTAGCAATATAGTCAATATCTGCAATAACCTGAAGCTATCACTTTAAGCCAAAACATTATGAAACATTTAGATACCAAGACTTCTTTAAAAAACAAGCAAGAAGTAAATGGCTTAAAAGTCAGGGATTTTAGTGTAAGGTGTCAGGAAGGAGTCCAGATGGATTAAAGACTTAAACATAGGACCTAACACCATAAAAACCCTAGAAGAAAATCTAAGCAAAACCATTCAGGACACAGGCATAGGCAAGGTCTTCATGACTAAAACACCAAAAGCATTGGCAACAAAATCCAAATTAGACAAATGGGACCTAAATAAATTCCAGAGCTTCTGTACAGCAAAAGAAACAATCATTAGAGTGAACCAGCAACCAACAGAATGGGAAAAAATTTTGCAATCTACCCATCTGACAAAGGGCTAATATCCAGAATCTACAAAGAACTAAAATAGATTTACAATAAAAAAACAAACAAACCCATCCAAAAGTAAGTGAAGGATATGAACAGATACTTATCAAAAGAAGACATTTATGTGAGCAACAAACATATGAAAAAATGTTCATCATCACTGACTATGAGAGAAATGCAAATCAAAACCACATTGAGATACCACCTCACGCCAGTTAGAATGGCAATCATTAAAATATCTGGAGACAACAGATACTGGAGAGGATGTGGAGAAATAGGAACACTTTTACACTGTTGGTGGGAGTGTAAACTAGTTCAACCATTGTGGAAGACAGTGTGGTGATTCCTGAAGGACCTAGAAATAGAAATTCCATTTGGCCCAGCAATCCCATTACTGGGTATATACCCAAAGGATTGTATATCGTTCTACTCTAAAGACACATGTATAAGTATGTTCATTGTGGCACTGTTTACAATAGCAAAGACCTGGAACCAACCCAAATGCCCATCAATGATAGATTGGACAAGGAAAACGTGGCACATATACACCATGGAACACTATGCAGCCATAAAAAATGATGAGTTCGTGTCATGTCCTTTGTAGGGACATGGATGAATCTGGAAACCATAATTCTCCGTAAACTGACACAAGAACAGAAAATCAAACACCGCATGTTCTCATTCACAGGCAGGTGTTGAACAATGAGAACACAGGGACACAGGGAGGGGAGTATCACAAACTGGGGTCTGTTTGGGGGGACCAAGGGAGGGACAGCAGGGGGGTCAGGAGGTTGGGGAGGGATAACATGGGGAGCAATGCCAGATGTAGGTGACAGGGGGATGGAGGCAGCAAACCACATTGCCATGTGTGTACCTATGCAACAGTCCTGCATAATCTGCACATGTACTCGAGAACCTAAAGTACAAAAAAAAAAAACTCAGGGACTTGACACTTACCAACATTTGGTGATTTTTTTTTTACTCACCATAAAAAATTATAATGTATCATGGAATTTACTTTTAAACATACAACCAAGTATAATGACAAAACATTAAAAAATACTCTCTAGAGAAAAATGCAAGCAAATATTATGCTATCTGTACAGTACCACTAGCTCCAAGTGGCTGTTGAACCCTTGAAATGTGAATAGTGCAACTAAGAAACTAATTTTTAAATTTAATTTAAATTTAAATAGCCATATGCAACTAATGGCTATTGTGTTGTACAGAGCAATTCTAGAACAAGAGAAATAATAAACCCTCTTTCATAGGGGCTGATTTATCACATTTAAATTAAAGCATTCAATTTGTTGAGGTGAGAGATCGGGTAGAAGACACATTGCAGAGTGAGTTGTAGAGTGATATAGACAACCTTCAGTGCATGTGAAGAGTGAAGTAAGAAAACTAGTAACTATATTGTATCAGAACTAGGTTGAAGGAATTTGAGGTGGCCTTGGTGGGAAAATGATGATTCATTTAAGCAATTAACAGTGCAATGTTTGGAAGAATAATTAAATTTACTTTGAAAGTTTTCTAAAGGAGGAATTAGAATCAATAAGTAACTTGATACAAGGAAGAAATTTCTAACGTGCTAAGGAGTCTAGTGCTAAGCTGTGTGACCCAGACTTTCTACTGGTGTTACAGCATTATAATTTCACTTTCTCTAACTAAGAAACACAGTCCTAACGGGGGAGTATCCTTGATAACAATATTCCCTAATATACTCTTGAGACCTAGAGTATATTAATAGAAAGAGTGTGTATCTTTATAATGAGAGGAAGATTTAGAGACAAAATTTGTCATTTGAGGCTCTCTGGAGGGGGTCCCACATCATATTTTATGATGTCCAAGAATCAGGGTTCTGGGGTCTGTACATTAACATAATGCTAAGTTGGTTTCTCTCAATGAACCTGTGGGTTTTGGATTGCGATCCATGATTTTTACTGGAATCTAGAGAACAACTGGTTACTAAATTCCAAATAATTTTCCTAAGCAAGAAGACTGCTATTATGGTTCTACTAAGTTTTCCTGTATACATGACATTTTCTCTAAACTTGAATCATTTCTCTAAACTTGAATCTATGCATTCCTGGGCTGCACATGTTTTCAAATTATGGATGATGATCATTTGCTATTCAGTCATCATGCTCAGCATTGGAGACATGCCTTTAAATTTGATTTCCTCTTCCTAGTAGCACTATTCACAGTAGCCAAAAGGGGGCATCAACCCAAATGTCAATCAACAAATTAATGGATAAACAAAATGTGGTACATACATACAATGGAATATTATTCAGCCTTAAAAAGGAAGGAAAATTCTGACAAATGCTACAACATAGATGAACCTTAAAAACATTATGCTAAGTGAAATTAGCCAGACAGAAAAGGACAAATACTACATGTTCTGACTTATATGAGCTACCTAATATAGTCAAATTCAGGACAGAAAATACAATGGTGGTTGCTATGGGTCAAGGACAGGAGTGAATGGGGAGTTATTATTTAATTGGTTCCAAGTTTCTTTTTGAAATGTTAAAAATGTGCCAGAGGTGGATCATGATGATGGTTTCACAATACTGTAAATAACCTATTACCACTGAATTGTACACTTAAAAATTGTTTATAGCTGGGTGTAGTGGTGCACGCCAGTGATCCTAACTACATAGGAGGCTGAGTCAGGAGAATCGCTTGAACCTGGGAGGTAGAGATTGCACTGAGCTGAGATAACGCCACTGTACTCCAGTCTTGGTGACAGAGTGAGATTGTCTTGAAAACTTAAAATAAAATAAGGCACGGTGGCTCACACCTGTAATCCTAGCACTGTGGGAGGCTGAGGTGGGCAGATCACCTGAGGTCAGAAGTTCAAGACCAGCCTGGCCAACATAGTGAAACCCACCTCTACTAAAAAATACAAAAATTAGCCAGGCATGGTGGCAGGAGCTGGTAATCCCAGCTACTTGGGAGGCTGAGGCAGGAGAATCATTTGAACCTGGGAGGCAGAGGCTGCAGTGAGTCGAGATCATGTCATTGCACTCCAGTCTGGGTAACAAGATTGAAACACTATCTCAAAAATACAATATAATAAAATAATAAAAATGGCTTAAATAGTAAATTTTATGCTATATAACTATAATGAAACTTTTTCAAATTTAGTTTCCTCAAAACTTGTATTGCATTAAACTATCTTTGCTATATATGTAAGATCATCTATAGAAAGTGGCAAGTGCTATTTTTATATTTTTCCTCTAACAAATGTAGTTTAAGAACATGCCAATCTGATTCTGAATCACGTAATCAGGCGGATGGGCATTATTAGTGCAATATGCAATTGTCATGTCCCAGGCATCAATAATGCCCACATTAAGATTCACAAAAATATCCCTTATGATAAGATTCTGAATATAGCCATGAAAGTCACTAAACATCTCTGCATTTTGATGTAACTCTCTGGTGTTTTCAGTTTTAAGTATCACCTTGGTCTCTGGGCTTCGCAAGAATAGACGTTCAATGGCCTTTTGAATATTGATGGCCCTACGGATGAAAATGTTGATGGGAAAGGGTCTAAAGTGCTGGCCGAGGGTAATGACAATGGCCGTGTTTTGGTCTCCTGCTACCCGGTCAATTTCCCGCGGGATATAGTTTTCATCTTTCACTGAGAATAGCTTTTTGGTAACAAATGGATGTCCATGTTTTTTCCACTGAATCAAAATATGTCTTTCAACATCCAGAAGAACATGTGTCTTAAAGATCCCAGCTCCATGATGATCAAAATATTTTAAGGCTGATGGAAGACAAATCAATAAATCTTTTAACAAAAGGAAAATGATATAACTTTCAACTGCACACAACACGTATAAAATTCAAACCAAGATCACTTCTAACTACAATTCATTGCTGCCTATATAGGGTTGATAATTTTACCAGGTGCATTACAATCTTAACAAAATCTTGAAATTTTTATGAGAATATATGATGAGGAAGAAAAATATTAACACTTGTGAATGAAAAGATAAAAATTAAATTTTTAATAAAATCCTGAAGGCAAAAGTTTGGCAAATTAAATAAAATAATAAAATAAATATTAGAAAAAAAAAGAAAATAATTTTAATTATTATTTCAAAACCTTCAAAAGTAAAATATTATTTCAAAATATAAATTAAATACATACTTTTCACAGCTTTTGTAAGTAGTAAATCCACTGACGCAGTGTTGAATCTCCCATGAGATAAATAAGTTTTCTTTCCAAGCAGTCATTTATATTTTTTGTTTCATTGAACTTGATCTGTTTACAAAATGCTGTAATCCACATTTTTTTCAAAGTATAACCACTGGGGAAAGGAGTCTTCATTCCAATCTGGCAGTTCTTTTTTATGTTCTCGCTCTCTGGAGATACAAATTTCCAGAGTAAGTAACTTTTATTACCACAAATCATTTTGGAAACATGTTCTTCATTCTTGCCTTCGTTTTCCTCTTTTTCCTCCACCTTTCTCCTCAGCACTATTTTGCCCTCCTCTCTTCCACAAATATTTATTTAGTAAGATCACGTTAAAAGGATGAATTAAAAGTTGTCACTGAATAGTTTTCCTTGGAGTGGGGATCAGTTGACTCGTGCATTTGCAATGTCTCCCTGGGCTCCACCTTGTCCCCAGAGCCACTCTGCTGTGGAACAGCCAGCCAGAGTCAGGAGGCAATGTGTGACCGTGAAATAGCAGGACACAGTGGCCCCGACAAATATTACACCAATGACATTGGCCTCGCTGAACTGTAAATCTCATCTTCCTCAAACTACATCTCCAGGAAAAGAAGCTTGAACGTGTTTATGAAATGAGTGTCACACATTGTTTATTTTGTGTGTCCCAGAATCATCTTCTCTGGCTAATAATTTTTTTAAATCCTCAAATCTTAGTTGTGTCTAGAACTGAATGTAATATTCTCACTGTGAGTTCACTAACACAGAAAAGGGTAGGATCGTGACCTCCCTCTTCTGAACACTCCTCTATTCAAATAGCCTAAACTGTATTTACTGACTCCTTTTGAGGTTTTCCCCCAGGCAAGTTTCTGAGACCACTTTTATATTCACCACTTAATATGCACATCTTCTTTGTCATCTACCTGCATTGTTGGGGTAAGGCGTATATATTTAGGGACTTATATTTATTCATATTGAATTACATCAGATTTGTAATTGGCTTCAAAAATTACAGTCTGGTACTTATCTTCCAAGAAACTACCTGGCTTTACTAGAAATTACTGTCCAGCCAAGAGGGAAACAAAAGAGGTGTTATGAGCATTCAAGTTGCCTCAAGAGTCTAAGAACTTTCTTCAGTGTAAAAGTTGGGTGTGAATGACAGTTGCCCTAGCAGAGAAGGGATCTGTCTTCTTCATAGATTGTGAGCTTTAAATCTGGGTTCATGATTTATTTGTATTTATGTTTTCCACAGGATCTAGCAAAGTTCTTTGTACACAGTAGGTCCTCAGTAAACATTTGCTGAATGCATGAAAAGGGGTAATGAGTAAATGTTATACCTCATTGATTGTTATAATGGAAGTCCTTTGCTTTACTTTAATTTTGAAATTCACTCTATTTCCAATGTAGCAGAAACATCACATCTATGAATGAAATGGTTTTGTGTTGACAATTAAAGTTCGTGTTATTAAACTGAGAAAAAAATTCACAAAAATGTCTAGTTCATAGAACTTTACGTAAGATGGCTTGGCTAAATGAGAAATTAGAAACCACCAAAGAAATGTCCTAACTCTGAATCTGTGCAGCTCATCTGAGACATTTTCACATAGCACCAGCACCTGATCATTGGCTCTGGAGGAATAAATCTCAAATTTAAATACAAATAGCCTGTACATTTTGGGAAGGTACCACTGAAATTAATGGTTTCCCTAGCCTTTTATATCTGACTTGGGGTGAAAATTGGTTTAAATTGACATGAAAATAATTTTCAAGAATAAAATCCCTTCTCTAAAACCCAAGGAGGTTGATATAATTTGTCCCAGGAAATGAGAGATCAAATGGTTAATGTGGAATAAATATCTCTAAGTAAGCACGTCCTTAAAGTGAATAAATTGTGATCATGGCAGGCAACAACACTCCAGACTTACTGTTACATGGTACGACTTCAATGGGGGTAAAGTTCTTCATCATTTCAACTCCCATGTTGGACCTGCAAGAAATGGAAAAATAAATTAGCTTAATGTCTACCCAGATAATAAAGTAAGAATCACTGGTTTAGATGGGTTAAACCACTCTTGTCCAAATGCCTTTTCTCCATTATTTTGATATATTTAAGATATCCTGGGGAAGTAAGTGGGTCAGGATCCTGGAAAGCTCTTCCTTTGCCAATGGCAGGTAATCTAGAGATCCAAAGAAAGTCACTCACCCTCCATGTGCAATCTATCAAATCTATCTAATATCTATCTATCTATATCTCTATATATATATATATATTTATCTATATATCTATCTATATATGCTTCTTTTAATTTTACCTTCTAAATGGCTCTCTACCACAAACCATCCTCTCCACCTTTTCCATCTGTAGTAATTCAGGCCCTCATCAACGTTTTCCTAGGCCAGTGCTTCTCAAACTTCAGTGTTCATCAGAATTACCTGCAGTACTTACTACAGCTCCAACTGCTGAGACTCACCCCCAGAATTTCTGATTCAATAGTTCTGGGGCAAATTCTCAAGAATTTCGTCTTCTATAATAATAAGCTCTTGGGCAAACCCAAAGTCAGTGGTTCAGGGACATTACTTTGAGAATCCTGTTCTAGATTATCATAATACTATCATTCTGCCCTTTTGGTTTATCCCACCTAAATAGAACCTCCATGCTACCTGTTTTATTTCCCCTACATAAAATGTTTCCATGACTTTCTGCCATCAATGTGCAGGAAAACCTCCCTAACTACCACAAAAACCTCCTGTCCGATGAAGGATGAAGCTGTCTATGTCACCAGATTCATCTTCATCTACTCTTCACCTTCATGAGTTCCCAGGAGTCTATTTTTCATAGTCTGTTATCTCCCTCAGGTAGGAATCAAGTCAATATTATTCACTATAACATTTCAAGTGCCCAGCACAGTGAGCTTCACCTCAAGGTATCAGTCCCAATGACTATAGTGACTATATCTGGCCAAGCTGAATTCATTCTATCAGAATGAAATCCATCTGGGGGGAGGTATGCCCTTTCAGAGCCAGAGCCACAGAAACCTTCAAGAGGGATAGAGAAAGTACTTTCTAAGATTGAAAAGAATTTCCTGAGTCTCAGGAAATGAGTTTTTGAGTCAAGCGAGGATAATATCCCCTTCATCAAGAAGGCCAGAGAACTGAAGAACTGAGTGATCAGGGTGGCTAGATGTGATGGCTGCATGGAGTGGTGGAGTCATGGGAGACAGTACTAGGGCCCACTGACTTCAGAATAAGGCCAACTGAGAATCCAGTTCTGACTCTGCAACTCAACTGGATATGTGACTTTGGCCAACGTATTTAATATGCCTAAATTTCCTCATCTATAAAATGAGCATAATAATAGTCACTCCAGAGTCTTTTATGGAGGATTAATGTTGTAATATAAAGGAGGCATCTAAATATACGTTGACATATAGTAGGTGCTCAACAAATCATTGCAGTTATTATTATTGAGGATCCCATCAGACCTATTTTTGGCACAAGACTAAGGTTTGTCTCTAAGAAATTGGAGCCTGACCAAACCTCTATTCTCCCATACCAGTCTCAGGTAAGGCTGAGGATAACAACAGAGATCAAGACCTGGCTACCTTGTAAATTTGGTTACCAAAGAAAGTTTGATGCTACATTAAAATTAGGATTAAAACTACGTATTAATGGTATAAAGAAATTCATCTTAATGTCTCCTGTTTTTGTAATTGTGTATGTGCATTAAATTTTAAAAAGGGGTCTATAATTAATTAGACCACAATAGTAACTAACAGAATTGTGAACAATTGTGTTACCTATGTGATGTCTTCTCCTATGGTAACCCCTCATTTATTTTTTTATCATGATTATCCATAAAACTCTCAAAAAGCAAAAGACTTTTTTTTTAATTTGAAGAAATAAATATCTTAGGAAGCAACATTTCTGATTCTGCAGCCAGGGTTGGGAGAGAGAACTGAAGTGGGAAAATGTATTTCCAGTCGTCCCTCAGTATATGCGGGAGATTGGTTCCAGAACCCCCACCGCATCTATGAAAATCAGCATATGAAAAGCTCAAGTCCTGCATTCAGCCCCACAGAGCCCAAGTATGTGAAAAGTCATCTCTCCATAGATGTAGGTTTTTGCCTCCTGTGAATATTATATTTTTGAACCACATTTGGTTGAAAAATCTTTGGATATAAGTGGATTTGTGCAGTTCAAATCTGGGTTGTTCAAGGGTCGACTGTACCATGTTACAAATGAAACAGAAACTGGCTTAGTCCTTGTACTGGTGAGCAGGAAAGATGTCGAAGAACTGGGCTTGGGTCTAGGAAGGGGCCCTAGAGCTTAGCAATAGAATGGTCCATGAGACTTCTTGGATATGTAATCAGCTGTTCCTTGCATATGCACTACATCAACTGTAAGGAGACGGAAATCTCTCTTTCCATGCAGTGGGGGGAGAAGAACTTGATAGCTTGAATAGAGCAGGGGATCTGGGACGGACTTATATCTACTGGGAAATAAAGCAGGTTACTATCATGATTACCGTCATGAGCACAACACCCTTGAGAAGCATGATTAAGATCCAAAATATGTGCCTGTCTGCCAGACTAGGAACTTTGGATTTCCTGAAACACAGTCAGGAACTGTGCAAGGATGGTACCTCCAACTCGGGCTTCATTGAGGACTACCTCAAGAGGGTCCAGCTGTAGCCAACATGGAATATAGAATCAGGCACTGGTGGCCCCTGCCCTTAGACCTAAGACATGGTTCTGAGACCTTCAAGGCAGGAAGATCTTTATGTTTCTATGATCATTTTTCCTTTGCTTCATAAACATTTATTTTTAAAATCCCAGCTTCTTTTAGCTGAGCCATAGGGGATAAAGAGATTTTTCCATACCTTGATCAGGAAAATGTAAAGAAGTGAAGGTGATGTAGGAGTGAAAGGGAGAGCCTGTAGTGAGGTAGGGCCAGTTGTACCCAGCCCTCTGTGTCATCATAATGCTTACATTGGATTTGAACTCGAATTTCCAAGATATTGTGCTATCCTGGAAATATGCCCTTTTGAACACATATAAGAAAACTAAAGCATTTCTATAGCAGCAGTTCCCAAACTGTGGAACGAAAATCTCTTTAAATGATCCATAAAATAAGTGGTCTATTGTTGGGATACACTCAGGGTGGCTGGCAAAATATTAAGGAAAATATTAGGGAAATGATAAGATATAGTCTCAAACCATTTGCAAGGCTGAAAGGTTTTCATAACTTGTAATAATGGAACAGGCTGAAGGTGGCCATTAGGAATATTAGGTCATAGGGTAAAGATTAGGGATAAGAGAAGCTTCCCCAGTTAAGTCTGTTTACCCTACATTCCTTTGTCTCTACTCAACTAGCTTGTTTACTCATGTAAACTTTGTGCCCTATGGGCCTCTGGAGCGGAGGTCAACCAGGGAAATTACCCATTAATGGCATTTGCTCTGGGCCCCAGAACCAAACCTTTTATCATTCGTAAAACCACTCTTTTAACTACCCAAAGCATGTTGACTTAGAAACTGTTATTAAATCTATGCTGAATAAATGTGAGGAGAAACAGCTAGTGGGGGCTTGGGTAGCTGCAATTGCCCTCTGAAAGCAGCTGATGACCTCCCTAGCCCACTCGTTCACTGTATTCTGTGTTTGAGTATATTTATTCATCCATCATGGAGTCAGGGTTTGCAGGACAGGACCCCCCACCAGGTGTGATAAACATCTCAGGTGGTTACTCTGACATGACCATCATCATAGCCTGTAGCCAAATAAATTTGGGAAATGCTCTATGCTATAGTCTTGCTTGAAGGGATACATATTAAAGTTTCTGAGAAGTCCTGCTGCAACGAAAGTACTCTAATTATTTCTCCAGATTGTATTATTTCACTTATATTTTTATTCAACAAATAGTTATTCAGAACTTTCTCAGTGTCAGGCGTTGTGCTAGGCCTGTGAGACAAAATACTGGCCCTCGATGACTTCCTGACAGACACAGATGACTTCTAAGGCCCTGCCTACCTATCTCATCTTCTCTATTCCTCACGTCCTGCATTCCAGCCTCACTGCACTCCACCCCCACCATGGTTCCTGGAACATTCCAACATACTCTTGCCTCAGGTCCTATTCCTTCTCTTGAGAATGATATTTCCCGAAAATTCACATAGCTTACTCCCTCACTTCACTCAGGTTGCTGCTCAAAACAGGCCTTACCTGATCACCATTTTAAAACATCATCAGTCATCACATTTGAAACCCTTACTCTTATGACTTTCTAATATAAATCTGTTTATTTACTTTTTGTCCTTCTATCCCACTGGAATGTTCATTCCCAACACCTAGTGCTGTGTCTGGACTACAGAAGGTACTGACTACTTATAAATTAAAAGAATGGGCTGGGCATGAAGGCTCATGCCTAAAATCCCAGCATTTTGGGAGGCTGAGGTGGGCAGATCACCTGAGCTCAGGAGTTCAAGACTAGTCTGGTCAACATGGTGAAACCTCATCTCTACTAAAGATACAAAAATTAGCCAGGCATGGTGGCAGGTGCCTGTGATCCCAGCTACTCGAGAGGCTGAGGCAGGAGAATTGCTAGTACCCAGGAGGTGGAGATTGCAGTGAGCTGAGATCACACCACTGCATTCCAGCTTGGGTGACAGAGACTTGGTCTCAAAAACAAAAAAGTAAATGAATGGTGAAAAGTAGTTAAAACGTAATGCTCTGCGGAGCTTACAACTTAACAGAGGATATTAAATAGAAATTGGAAAATTAATAATGTAATAAGAATTACATTAGGGAAGAACAAAATGCTACGGGAAGAATATAGGACTAGTACTTCACCCAGGGATGTGGGATGTTTCCTGGAGGAAATGATATCCAAACCAAAGCCTGCGAAATGCCAAAGGTGAGAGGACGTGGTCCATTTGTGAAATAAAAGGAGTTCCATTGACCGACAGAGAGCAAGGCTGCATGAAGGTGGGACAAGAGGCTGCCAAAGGAGGAAAGTCCTTGTAAACAGATTAAAGAGCTTAAATTTCACCCTTAGAGCCATGGGATCATCTTACAGCTTTTAAGTAGGAAATAGTAAAAGACATAACTGCATTTCAAAAACATTAGCCTAGGTGCAGTGTGGAGAATGGATTTGAAGAAACAAGACTGAGGGCAGAGAAATCAGCTCTAGAGATTGTTGCAGTGATCTGAGATACAATGACAGCTTATGCAAGGAAAGAGGCAATAGCAGTAGACAGAAATGGCTGGGTTCAAGACTTAGCTGGGAGGTATAATATCTAGAACGTAATGATTCACTGGATGTAAAGGGTAAAGCTGGACTGAACAATGATATCATTCACTTTTTTTATTGCATAGCATCTATTAATACACTATAGGATTTGTATTCCATGGAACACATTATAGAAAACATAGGTCTATAAAAAATTACTGAACCTGGAAGTATTGCACACCATGGAGAACTATAGGTCTATATTAAGTGCTTATATGCCTGTCAGCAAATAGTTCTAGAGGTGACTTGTATGGGCCCCTGTGAACACACTACAAGCTGAACTGACTCAGAGGACCTAATTATAATTTAGTCAACATAATTGACATGATACAAAAACTTGATTAGGCAAAACTACTAGGCAGGGTCTCGTTGGATACCTCTTTTTATCTATTATTGTATTTGAAAGCCTCTTTACCTGTGGAAAAGGCTCCATTCTTCCTTGCTAAGATAGGAAATATTTCTTGTCCTAGTGGTCATATGGGTCAGAGCCTCACAGGGCATATGTTGAGGCCTCACACAGTAGAAGGCTTCTTGGTCTCTGTCATCCAAGTACTGGCACAGTTCAGCATTTGTGTTTAGGGTCAGGCCACATTCAGTGAAAACATTGGAGGTTCTGTTGGCAAACAGGCCAATAAAGATGACCCTATCACAGCCTTGGTTCCTTGCCCTCCAGAGAGCTGATGCCCCTTCACTGGGGTGGATGAGCAGCAGAGACAGGGAGACCTGGCCCTCCCAGAACAGACTGAAGCTGATCAGGTAGGTGCCATTGTTGAAGTCAGTCACCTTTCCTGAAGCACCTGCCATCAGAGTTGGGGAGGAGATCCTGGCCCTCAGGAAATCTCCGCCATATTGCTTCCTGCGTCCCAAGTGGTCCCTCACCTCCAGCAGGATGTCCAGCTGGTCCCCTCTGCAGTACGTGTCTCGAGGGTTGAGGATGGTGGCTGTGCTGTGTGTGGCGCTGGTGGTGGTGTTCACATGGGTGAAAGGTCTGGGTGGGATCTGCTGGTCTAGTTTCTCCATGATTTCCTTTATTCTCAGTTCAGTCTTTTTTGGTGAAACTGCTGGACACAATGGTGCTTCAGAGCGTGACAGTTTTTTGAAGATGTTCCCTTGGTTCAGGGTAATATGGTTTTCCAAGCTGAACAAGAACTGAAATATTGAAAGGTAAAATAATATATTATCAGCAAATAATAGGGCTTGCTTTTCAATATAAATTACTATGGCTTATTTTACATCTTTCAGTGTGATAAATTAAATATCAAAAATCAATACTAATTGGTTTTTGGTTATGGAATCATCATAATTGGTTTCAAATCATCAAAATTGGTTTCCATATAGTGTGACTTCCTCTCCTGCCAGGAGATGGCTTCCTTTAGGAGTCACTGGCTTAAAAATTAACTAGATATAATAAATATGTATTATTTTATGGTTCAATTTTAGAGTTTTTCCTTTTGCTATCCCCTCACTTGACTTTTCTTTTTAAAAATCATATTATCATTTTCTGTATCAACAAGGCAGACAACAGAGGATGATGTGGTACGTTTCATGTGCAGTGGGAAAGAATGTATATTCCACTGTTGTTGGAGAAAGTGTTTTATGAATGTCAATCAGATTTAGTTGAAGGGTTGTGTTCACTAGTTCTTCTATATTTTTGCTGACCATATTAGTTTCATGGGGCTGACATCACAAATCATCACAAATTTAGTGACTTAAAACAACCTAAATTTATTCTCTTATAGTTCTGGAGGACAGAAGTCTGAGATCAAGGTGTCAACAGGGTGAGTTCCTTATGGAGGCTTTGAGGAAGAATATATTCTATATGTTTCTCCTAACTTCTGGTGGTTGCCAGTAATCCTTGGTATTCCTTGGCTTGCAGATATTTTACTTCAATCTCTGCCTCCATTTTTATGTAACCTTCCCCACTGTGTTTATTTTTCCCTCTTCTTCTCTTAAAAGGATGTAGGATCCCCCTTAATCCAGGATGATCACATCTTGAGCCCCTTAACTTATTTACATCATCAAAGAGTCTTTTTCTAAATATAGTGGCACTTCCTTATCCATGGTTTTAGTTACCCACGGTCGAACATGGTCCAAAAATAGATAAGTACAGTACAATAAAATATTTTAAGAGAGAGAAAGAGACAGAGAGAGAAACTGCATTTATATAACTTTTATTACAGTATGTTGTTACAATTGTTCTATTTTAGTTATTTTTGTTCATCTCTTACTGTGGCTAATTTATAAATTAAACTTTATCATAGGTATATATGTATAAGAAAAAACAGCACTTACACCATATAGGGTTTGGTACTGTCTGCGGTTTCAGGTATGCACTGCGGTCTTGGAACATATATTCAGTAGATTTAAGGGGGACTACTGTAGGTCATGTTCAGGGGTTTCAGGTAGACTAATTTTTAGGGGGCCATCATTCAACCCACTAAACTGACTTTCTCTCTACATATTTTATCAATTACTCAGAACAATGTTAATGTTGTTGACTATGATTCTGAATTTTCCTTTCTTTTTATTTATATATGCTTTTCTTCAAATATTTTGCAGCTCTGCTATTAGATGTACATACATGTATTGGTTGTTACGTATTTTGGGTGAATCGTCACCTTTATCATTACATAATGATCTCATTTGTTCTTGGTAATTTTCCTGGTTCTGAAATCTACTTTGTCTGATATTAGTAAATTCATACAAGCATTATTTTGTTTAGGATTTGCATGGTATATCTATGTTTGTCATTTTACTTTTAATATACCTATATCTTTATATTTAAGACGGATGCTAGCTTATGGTTGATTTCTTTTCTTTTTTTTTTTTTTATATGGAGTCTCACTCTGTCACCTAGGCTGAATTGCAGTGGCATGATCAGGGTTCACTGGATCCTTGACCTCCCAGGCTTAGGTGATCCACCCATCTCAGCCTCCCAGGTAGCATGAGCCACCAGCACCTGGCTATTTTTTGTGTCTTTTGTACAATTGGGGTTTCACCATGTTGTCCAGGTGAGTCTTAAACTCCTGAGTTCAAGCAATCTGCCAGCCTCAGCCTCCCAAAGTGCTAGGATTACTGATATGAGCCACTGTGCCCAGTTTGATTTCTTCTTTTTTGTACATTCTGACAGTCACTGTTTTATCATTAATGTGTTTGGACTATTTATATTTAGTGTTCTTATTAATATGCTTTAAGTCTACCATTTTAATAATTGTTTGCTCTTTGTTCTCTCCTTTTTTTAGTCCTGATGCCACCATTTTTAAATGTCTCAGAACTCTCTGTTTTCCTTAACAAGGAGAACAAGGGGAACTATGTCACCAGAGCCTAACCAAGTTGGGTTTTACCAAAACCTGATCAACCTGGGGTAAGGAAAATACCCAAACCCAGCTGCCCTCTGGCTTTCTTATCTCACCTAAGGATTGATGTGGGTATAGGAAAACAGGAGGCTGACAAACACGAAGGTCACAGTCTTAGGGCACAAGCTCACTAAAATACTGAGACTAAATCGCAGCACTACAGAAAGCTTCCCCTCCTGCACATCTTACAACCAATTCAATAGGAATCCTGCATAGAAAAAGAGGATTATATTGAAAAGCACTGCAAGCCTCAGACTCTATTTAAAAAGAGGTCTCTAGAAACACCCCAGGATAAAGCCTGTAGGAGAAACATAAACATGGGCATTGGAGGAAATTGTAGCCTCTGACGCAATATCTACAGTAAACAGTAAACACAGTCTAACTCCTAACCACATAAACATAAAAGCTCAGCTCCAGTTTACCAACTACATCATGTCCAGATTTCAATAAAAATTACAAGGCACGCAGAAGAAAAATAAGTGCCATCTAAAGGGACAATGCAATCATCGGAACCAAACTTAGTTATAGTAGCGATTTTGAAATTATCAGGCCAGGAATTAAAATAACTATGATAGAGGCATTAATACTTAGGGCTCTAACAAAAAATATACACAACAAGAGAAAAAGATGGGTAATGTATGTAGAGACATGGCAACTCTAAGAAACAATCAAAACAAAATGCTAGAAATCAAAATCACTGTATCAGAATAAAAAACACCTCTGATGAACTCATGAACAGACTGAATGTGTCATGTAAAAAATAAGGGAGCTTGAGGGTATGTCAATAGAAACATCCCAAACTAAAAACAAGAGGAAAAGCAAGAAAAAAAGAACAGAATATCCAAGAACTGCGGGACAAATACAACAGGTATAAATATACATAATGGGAAATACCAAAAGGAGAATAAAGAGAAAGGGACAGAAAAAAATATTTGAAGAAATAATGACAAATTTTTCCAAAATTAATAGCAGATACCAACTGCTAGATCCAGGAAGCTCAGAGGGCACCAAGCAGGAAAAATACCAGTCTACATCTAGGCATGTCATATCAAATTTCAGAAAAATCAAAGACAAAGCATAAAATTATGATAGAAGCTGGACAGGAAAGAAAACTTTACCTATTGAAGAACAAGGATAAGATATTGATGTCCTCTTCTTCAAAACCTGTGAATATGTTAAGTTACATGGCAAAAGAGAACTAAGATTGAAGGTGTAAATTCTGCTTGCTAATTAGCTGACCTTGAGATGGGGAAGATTATCTTAAATTATACAGATGAGTCAAATGTAATTATAAGAGTCTTTAAAAGTAGAAGACAGAGGCAGAAAAGGAAGAACCAAAGAGACAGCAGTGTGAAAAAGATTTAGCCCAGTGTTGCTCCATGTTGTTTTGAAGATGGAGAAGTCAAGGAAAACAGATTCTCTCCTAGAGCTTCCAGAAGAAAATGCAGCCTTGCTAATACCTTGATTTTAGCCCAGTGAGATCCATTTTGGAATTCTGGCCTCCAGAAGTCTAATATAATAAATTTGCATTGTTTAAGCCACTAAATTTGTGGTAATTTGTTATAGCAGCAATAAAAAACTAATATAATAGCTGTTTTAAGTCTTTGATAATTCCAGCATCTATGTTACCTCAGGGTTTTGCCTGATTTCTATTTCTTTCTTGCAAGTTGTGGTTTTCCTGGTTCTTCATTCTCTAAACAGCTTTAAATCATATCCTAGATATTTTAACTATTATGCTATGAGATTCTGAGTCTTGTTTAAACTCTAATGATAATTTTGATTTTATTTTTAAAACAAGCATGTGATTTAGTCAGGTTAAGTCTGCAAGTTTCAGTACACGTTTTGTGGGGTTTGGTTACAGGTCTGTTCAGTTCTCAAAGACTTCACTGTATAATTTGAATCTGTTTTATGTGTGTGGAATCCAGTGGTCCCGTCTGTAATTAAATTCCCAAAGCCTTTCGTGGGCTATTTAGAGAAAGATTGACACCTGCTAAACTCAGAGTTGAGCCCAGGAGTTCATTAACCACTTTGTGGGACAGCTCTTTTAAGCTTCATCTTTTCCACAATCTCCCTAACACTTCCCCATTCTCTGAGGTGTCCATTATTGGTCCTCCAGCCAGAAATACGGGGCAGGAAGAAGGTTTCCCATCTTGAAGGAAAACTCTAATATGCTTCCCTAGGTTACCTGTAGCACCTGGGACCAGGTGGGAATATTTTTAAAAGGCTCAACAAAGGCAAAGTGTGCACCACCTGGAGTTCTAAACACTTGAAGAAAATAGTGTTTGTATAAGATTCAGTATAGAATGAGGTCTTTAAACTTCAACAGAAGTATAGTAAAGAGAAAAAACCTTTTTATTGAGATAATTGTAGATTCACATGCAATTGTCAAGAAATAGCAGAGAAATTGGAGGGATCAAGATGGCTCACTAGACACAAGTATTGTGTGCCTCCTCCATGGAGAAGAGCCAGATTAGTAAGTAGATGGTCATATTCTGAAGAAACTAACTAGTAGAGAGTGCTTGGATTCATCAGAAAAGAGACAGGAAGCATCAGAAGTAAGTAAGGAGAGGATTTAAAGTAGCTTGCCCAGCTAGGAACTGACAGAGTGAGAGCAAGGAAACAGTAAGAGAAAAATCCCCAAAGCTCTAAAATAGGCTTTAATGATCATGGCTACAGGAAAAACCATCACCTGGCCCTCATGTTTGACATATAGAGTTGCCTAAAGATGACACAGAAACGTCGCTAAAGAAAGGGAACTCACACGGAATCCCACAGGCATCCAAGCCTGGAGCA